GCAGTGTGTGTTAAAGTACGGTAGCCATACTTGGATTACTGAAAACCAGGACACTCGGCCCGGCAATGAGATACTCCAATGATACTGCAGTTTACTCAAAGATGCCTTATAATTTCAATACATTTAAAGTATGCCTCCTTCAGGACACTTCATCACTTTATAAAAAACAACCAGGACACCCAGGACATGAAAACAGGACATGTCCTGGGAAAACAGGACGTTTGGTTGCCCTCGTTAAAGGTCACAGTCTGGTGAAGCCAACAGAACCACATGCAAGGTACCTGCCTGAGATTTGGAAGCAACTTAGACCCTTCGACGGTGGAGTTGTCGGGGATCAAACCATCAACCTTGTGGTTAGTGGACAAGCAGCTCTACCATGTGAGCAATAGTCGCACCATTCCCAATTGGAACCTCTGCGTATTAGCTAACATGCTGACATGGTTAATTAAGACGGTGAAACGGTAAATAGCGTGTTTGAGTGGTTACAGTGAGCTTGTTAGCATGCTAGCATTGATCTTAAAGTATAACAAGTGTCACAGAGCTGCTAACATGGCTGCAAACTCTGAATCTGGCTTCAATCACGGTGAGCTCTTTTAAGATTAAAGGTGAGAAAAGGACATGCAAACAGAGCTGCCCATGCAGTGGCTTCTGTCTCACTTGGCTGTGGCTGCAGCCAGCATACTACTGGGCCCAGATGAAGTCCTTGCAAATGTAAATTGGTAATCCATTCAGCATAATCAAATGGAAATGAAAGTACAAATGCACCGATTTATAATCTATGCAGGAAGGGTCATTTTAATTAAGCAGACAAAGCCGACGTAGCGGGCGAAATGTAACATTGTTGGATTCAGGACAACATCAAACACATAAATCCACCAAAGGAGCTGCAGAGTCCCAGTTCTCCTGAACAATCTGAGCACAGTTTAATGCAGATAGTGACGGTTCCACTGACTTCTCTGAACGCTGACAAAAGGTTTAATATGGAAGTAAGTGTTGATATACTGAAATCTGTTGATTACTGTATCTTCTGATCAGACACACAATGAATTTCTTGTTTGCACATTGCACTTACAACATATCTACATTTGTACACTTTTATTCATAATTGTGCAACTTTTGTCCTCCAGATTCCTTTTTTGAATCACTATTGTTCACATTTGTCTTGAGTTCATCACACTAGAGTTTAATAAACATATTACATGAACAGAAAATCTTATTTTTGTAGGACATGAAGTGTTTTATTGCATGCAGTTTAATTTTATTCAGAAAATTTATGAAAGGATGAATATTCTTATTATGATTGTCCTCAAATAATGCATTTTCATGTCAAAGTAAATTTTTGAAACATGATCGATGGACAGAAGTAATTCAGAAACCATACTAATCAATATAATATTTATTTGAGATTGTGTTTTATAAAAAAAAATAAAAAAGGAAATATATTCAGCAATGACTTTTGGCACCAGGAAATAACACACTAAAAAGTCTTTATTCATCTGTTTTTTTCATGGTGAAATTTTAAAAACATAGACAATATTTGCTCGTGTTAAAGTTAAGCTAAATCCTGCATATGCATGAAGAATGTCAAAGCAAGTTTCATTAAGTTTCATTAAAGCTGAGTGGAACGGTTCCAGGCCCAATGAGAGGAAATGTGTTTTCATAGCATCTAGGTAAAAGATTAGTGACCGTACAGAAGGAAGAAGAAGTGGTTCATGTCAAGAAGATTATAGGAAACACAGCCTTGTTGCATCCAATGTGTTTCGACTTTTGATGTCTGATCCAGTGTGTTTAGTCTTCTAATGTCTGTGGATGAGTGCACCCTGTACCCCCAGCTGTTGATTATCAAGCACGAGATTGTTATACTCCCATTGCAGCGAAGGCCACGCCTGTACATGCAAAAGAATGCCGTGCTGCCTGCACTCATGTGTACTCTCCTGCTTGCATTCTGTATGACCTGTACCTTCAAAGCTTTGAATAAAACAAGACAACTCAGACTACTGGACCTTATTAAGATCAGAGCAAAAATTCCCACAACATTAGCAATTATAAGAACCATTTGATCAATGTGGTGGTAAATAAAACTTTAACTTTAGTTACTGTGAAAGAGTATGAATAATTTGGGATGTGGTGTTTTCAGTAAAAATGTAAATTAAAAAACACAAAAACATAGAAATAGTTCAAATATGTAAATAATAAACATCTCTAACACAGTAGTTTCTGTCTATTGTCACTTGTTTATGTCATTTCCAGCCAGAAGAAACCTATTGTTCAAATAAAAATTCACTCTGAATCAAAATATGGCATGACTACGAATAACCTGGAGCTCCGGTATCAGCTAATACAGAGTCTGGTTCTGGAAAAATGAACTTGTTCACATTAGAGTGTGTGTCGAACATTTCTCAGCCCTGTGTGGGTCTTTGTCCGCTTTCAGATGATTCTGTTCAGTTAAAGGTTTCCACAACATTAGTGAACATTAACTACAACAGGGGTGTCCAATCAAATGATCAGCTCATCATCAAGCTCTGCAGAAGCCTGATAACGATCCTGATCATTTGAATCAGGTGTGTTGGAAGAAGGAAACATCTAAAACATGCAGGACTGTGGCTCTCGAGGACCAGGATTGGACACCCCTGAACTACAAGTTCTAATGTTTTAAAGAAAACATTTTAATCTAATGTTCAGAGAGTGTTTTAAGGAATAACACTGGAGACGGATGGTTTTCTGGCACAAATATCCACAAACAGAAGACACAGCATCTTTTATTACTTAAAATCTAACAACAGACAACGGTGGCTCATCAATTTAAAACAACATAAAATCAATATTTGGTCTGTGAGAAGGTGCACTCAGACAGAAATGCAGTAAAAGGCAGAATGACTAGTAACAGACTTCTGAACAGTGAGGACACTCCTTCAATGACATCACAGACAAAGACGATCAGGTTTTCTTGTACATATCCCACAAGCTGGTTTTTAAGACTGATTCAGATTATCATCATCCTTATTATCAGCAGTAAATATCTTATTGTTTTTAGACAAACTGCACAAAAAATTACATCAGAATGAACCTGGTAATTTAGAAAACCAACATTTAGTGCAGTGTGGGGAAACAACATCCATTGAAGATATATTTGTACAATCAGAATATCATTTCTTTGACAATTTTTCCACAGAGTCCTGAGTGCATCTTTTTCTTAAAAATAATTTCCTTTAATCAAGTTAAAGCAGTAATTATATCAAAATTCCTAGCGATTCTAATATCTAAATGAAGTTTTTGATCAAAGTCATAACAGCAGTGTAAGAATCATAGAAGCCAGTGAGAGGATGAGGAGGAAGCTTGGACTGATGAAGATGAAATGAGCTGCATCATGGAGTTCAGGTAGACAGAGAACCTTCTTCAACATCTGGTGAGTCTCAGCGCTGATACCTGGAAAACAGAAGACATATGTCTATGCATGTACTACATGCTGAAATAAATATGTTGCATAGAAGCTTATTCAGAGATCCTACCGTGTTGAGACCACTCCCTCCAGACTTGCAGGTATTCAGGGTCATGTTTTCCCCCAAAAGCTGAAACAAATGATTATTCATCCCATAAAAACATGAAAGAAGCAGAGACTTTTTGGGACAGATCTTTTTTTTTTTCCCCCAGCACTGGGTCAAAATATGAATTATGAGCCCTTACATCCACTGGATTAAACACAAATAAATGCAGATAATTCCACCACTAACTCATTCAGAAAAGGCACAAATTGGTGCATAAGTGTTTGAAGCTCTGAATTTCTCAATATGAGTATCTTACTTTTGGAGTGTTCTGCCAGAAGGTGTTTCAGGTCTCTCACAGCCCTGGTCAGGTTCTCCAGCCGGTGCTGCAGGTGGACGTTTTCCTCTTTCAGAGTGTGGATGGTGTCCTGGAGCTCGTAGGCCGAGCTGCATCCTGACAGCATCAACCAGAACACTGCAGTGATTTGCAAGATGGAGAACATCGTAGCTGCAGACGTACGACTGGATGTCAGTCAGTTGTTGTTCACAGTCGTCCACAGAGATTTAAAGTCAAGTGGAAGAGTTAACGCTGGTTTGTTTCTGTGTCGGGATTGATTGGCTGATGGGCAGCTAAATGCTCTTCGCTCGCCGACCCACTCTAAAGGATCAATTGTTCTTGTTTTAGATGACCAACAGAGCTGTTTTGGAGTTAATAAATCTTCATGCTCACTCACATGACACAGGATGAAGAGGAAAAGCACCTACAGAGCTAAAGAGAGTCCTAAAGAAAATAGGCTTTAAACATTAAAAAAAATGTTGTCTTGCCTCGCTCGTTTTGTTTTGCCAATTGCCAAAACTTATCAGTTAATAGATGATTTTATTTAACTGAAAACCTATTGCTGCTCCCCTTTCCTTAATTTTTCAACGAAACCTGATATCCAACAATGTTTAAGTTCTATTTTTATTGTTTATTTCTATTTATTGTTACTTTTTTTTTTTTTTAATCCAAGAGACCATTGAATTCTGGGGTAAATCACTCTTATGTCTGTTTTCTGTTTTTATCTTATGGAAATGGTAGTTTTCATTTGTTGTACATTGAGTCACATCATTTTGCACCTTTTATACCAAACTTAACAAAATAAGATCAAATTATTAATCAAGATTAATCAAGTCTTTCTTCTACAGAAAGTCCCGAAAATGGATTTGGACGTCCTCCCTACAGCAGAGTTATTCTTTTGATAAACAATAATTTTGTTTTTCTTTTATACACAGAAAGTTTTGTTGTGAATTTGTGCTATATAGATAGAGGTGAATTGAATTAAATTTAAAAAAAGAAAAAAAAAATTGGAATGCAGATTTTATAATTAAGTTTGTGATTAGAAATAAAGCACAGTTAGAAGTTAGAAAGAAAAAAAAATGTATAAAAGCCCGCCTTCAGCGGACAGGTGGGAGCAGAGGACCCGGAGTGCGGAAGCGTAAGTGTTTCATCATCTTCTTCTTCCGGGTTGATTTCTGGTCACAAGCAATCCAACATGGCGACTCACATGTCGAGGTGCCGAAGCTGGAGTCGTGTTCAAAGGTAATGCGTTCAAAATAAATGCTCTTAAACTGACACTGGGCTGGGCTTTTACACACAGAACCAGTATCACCAGTACACCCGGTACCTGCCATGTCACGATGTGTGCGGCGTCGTAACTTTCCTGCGTCCTCCTCACCAGAGATTAGCACCCTCGGTTAGCACGATGCTAAGATAAATTAGCCGTCAGACAAGTTGTGCTGAAGTTACATCATGACTCCGTTAGTGGAGGACACTGTGGAGTCGCTTCAATGTTGACAGTATTTCATAGTTTTGTTGTTGTAACGAGAGCGATAAAGAAGTTAGATTTGTGAGTGCTGGTTTTGATTTGTCTGGGATTTTCCTGTTTCTGAGACAACTGTCATGTTAGCTAACAGCTAGCTGCATGTTTATTGACAGCTGACATATTGAGGTACATGTTTGTTAAAGGTTTGAATAGAGTGAGGGGTTGCTTTGGTGTTGGCTGGAGCTTTGTGGAGGCTAACATATGCTAAACCTTAATTTGTCATCATGGCATGGCTGTCAGTTTACAAGGAGATAAACATGAAAATTAAGTTTTGTGCCAAAATGTAATGACTCAATTATGTTTGTTGTAAGCAGAAAGATCTGCTGTAAGCTTAAAGCTGTCAGTTTCAATGACCAGGTCAGAGCTTTGGATGTTATAAAAGTTGTGAACAGTTTTCCAAAGAAGGTACTCAGTCCTGCCTTAAAACTGTATTCAGTCATGAGCTGCTATAAAGTTCACTTCTGTCACACAATTAGGACACTGATATATAATTCCAATGACATACTTATTTGAACAAAAGCCTGACAGCTCAGGTGGAGCTCAGGATTCATTCAGAGAAGCTTTTATACTAACATTTCCATTGCTTAAACCTACAATATGTGAGGAACAGTTGATCCGTCTGATGTGTAGAGGAGCGCAGCACATAGTTAACTGTCAGGTCCTGTGTTAATGTAGTTACTGCTGCTTTGCCTCATGTCTAAACATGCCCAACACTTTTAAATTCAAGAGGCAGTTGGTGTTTCAGCTGCTTTGTAATGCTGCAGGTATTTATTAAAGTCATAAAATAGGATCTGGCACACATCCAGCTGTGGACAGCTAACAGGACTTCAGTAATGTTTCTACAAATTCCCAAATTACATTCTGTGACATGTCAAAAAACATTTTTTTTCAGACATTAATCTACCACGGTTCACAGCCATATTAATGGCTGTATTTTAACAGGAACATCAGTATGTTATAAATACAGTAGTTACGTGTGGGCGGTGTAGTGCTACCTGGACACAAGCCAGGATTGATCCACCCCTGCTGGGGGAAAGTGTGTGATGTTGAAAAATCTGAAAAAGCTGATGACCCCGGGAAACATCACTGATGTTGTGTCCATGTGTATCAAGAGGGTTTACACCATGCTAAATGAAATTTCACAAATCTATACGAGGGTGAAGTCAACGAAGCCAGACGCAGAGCTCTGTGTTTCTGTACCTCCACTGACTAAAGACAGACAAGCTAAACTCTCTGCCGTTTTCTCTGCAGAAATGTTTTTTAAAAAAAGGTGAAACTGCTCTTCTGTCTGTTAAAAGTAACTTTACTGTCTGTAATACATCCTTGTGTTTTGTAATGTCCAACAGCGTATTCTCTAAATACACTGAATACATTATATTAAGAATATTATCCAAATAATCTGCTCCTAATATTCGGGGTAAGGAATTTGTGTTTCGGGAACTATAGAATAGTTCAAAAACTTTGGCACTATGTTTACTGTTGCTTCATGGGTGTACACAATAATATATTTGGAAGGGGGTGTCAAGCACTTAAATTTTCCAGAACAGAAATACTTTAAGGTTATGTAAGGAATAACAGCAGACATAGGCTATTGATTAACAGGGGACATAAAAGGAGGACAAATGTATTATTTTTTTATTCTCTATTGTATATTGTGGGGAACAGACTGGTATTTACTCAGTGTTGGTAGAAGGACAGGACCCCTCCAAACAATGTGTGGTTACAAGCTGGAGAAAACCTGCCGGTGAGCTCAGAGTGAAAAAGAGGCGACTCGCTTCACTGATCAGGTCAGAGCTCCTGATCTTAAAAAGCTGTGGAGAGTTTTTCATTGACTCTGCCAGAATAAACTCCGCAGTCTTTTACTATGTGTTCAAAGTCTTGAATAAACAACGTGTGTTTAGTTTCCAATTTCCCCGGAAAACTATTTTCAGCTCCCTTGTCCTTATCCTGTGTGGCAGATCAGTAATGCTGAGTAACTTTGTGTTGACACAGTTTGTGTCACAGCAGTGACGCACTGCATGAATTGCATCATTGTGTTACATCTGGAAATACTCCGGTTTCTGGAATATTCTGAGGAAACTGCTGAGTTTTCATACATGCTAATGTTTTAACTAGAATGATGCTTTTAACTGGTGCTGCAGGCAAACGGCATGCTAGCTGTGTGAAGTGTCTTCTGTGGTTTTAACCATTGCTGTCAGTTGAGTTTCTGCATGTGGACTGCGTAATTTAGCGTTATGTTTACGACCAGATGAATTTCTTACATGAATATATGTCTTGTTAGTTAACTAGAGCTGACAGATGTCTATGAAGTGGCATAAACAAAGCAACACATTTTCACTCTTAAGTAATTTTGCAGGTTTCTAATGAGCTGCTTTACTTCTAATAGCAGAAAATATCCACTTGTAAGTTATTATTCCGATATTTTCCATCCCCCTGCTCTCTTGAGACAAAGAACAGAGCTCTGTTTCACAGAGCAGGTGCCATTTATTTAATACTCATTTATTGCTGAGAGGTCTCTGAAGAGCTATCGCTTTATTCTTCCTAAAGGTTTGGGATCGCAGCTTACAGAAAGTACAGCAGTGGTGGCGGATACCCGAATATCTCCCTCTCCTTACCGCTGCCTGGGATCCCCAAACCAGTGTTTGCGTCTGTGGATGGTCAAGAAAAATATGAGACCAGGATCACCACTCTAGAAAATGGCCTCAAAGTCGCTTCCCAAAACAAGTTTGGTCAATTCTGCACAGTTGGAAGTAAGTTCCAGCTTTAATATGTAAATAATGTCCTTTTGTCTTCATTTTCTGTCTGAAGTGGATAAAATGTGAATGTTTTCTTTCTTTCTTGCTCAGTTTTAATAAACTCTGGATCCAGACATGAAGCAAAGTACCCAAGTGGAATAGCACACTTCATAGAGAAACTCGCCTTTTCTGTAAGTAAAACACCGTAACGTGAAAAATGAAGGAGGCTGATGTTTGTCAGGCAACACTGACGAGAACATTTTCATCTTCAGTCCACAGCACAGTACGGGAGTAAAGATGAAATCCTTCTCACATTGGAAAAACACGGGGGGATATGTGACTGCCAAACATCAAGGTATTAAACACAATTCCTGCCTCGGGATTAAATATCTGTACGTGAACATGTATATATTTTAACGTTGATGAGTGTGTGAATACAGATGATAGTTGGACACATTGTTTGTATTGCTGCGCAGAGACACCACCATGTACGCTGTGTCTGCTGAAGTGAAGGGTCTGGACACTGTGGTCAATCTCCTGTCTGATGCCGTCTTGCAGCCTCGCCTGCTGGGTAAGTCCAGCTCACTGCAGATCCATCCTCGAGAAGCTGTCCGAAGTGTCTCCACCACTAAACTGAGCTGTGTTTGTTCACATGCAGATGATGAGATCGAGATGACCAAAATGGCCGTGCGCTTCGAGTTAGAAGATCTAAACATGAGGCCGGACCCTGAGCCGCTGCTCACAGAGATGATCCACGCTGTGAGTTACACCAGCTGTCAGATAAAATGCCATTAAGAATGTCCTTTTTGTTGCTAAAAGAGTACAGATACGTAGGTTTTCCACAGCTGAACTATTAGTTGATGATTTATTTGACATTTTACTTTGGTTAATAGGTAATCGGGGTGGGTGGTCGGGCCCAGCTGTAAGATAAGGTCATGTTTTATTAATCCCACAGTGGGTAAATTTGCATTTACTTGAAGTCATATGACGTAATGCTTAGTTTAAAAACTCTCTGAATGTTTGTCGTGTGAGTCACCACTGGCTTTATGGTTGCATTGTTCATGAGTTTATTTTTTTTAATAATTCTGTTAAACCGCGGTTCAAAAGCAATGTCTGATTTTCATAAAATTTTGATTTATTATTACTTCAGTCAGATTCAAGTTATTTCTGTGACCATTATGGGTTTTCTTTCATTAACCGAGGGGTACCAGCAATTCTGTCCACGTGTGTATTTGCAGGAAAGAAAACAGAAAAAAAAAAGCCTGATATGTGGCGTCGTCACTGCAATCGTTTTTAATGTTGAATGTGTTCATTGTTTGTTTCCAGGCTGCATATCGAGGCAACACGGTCGGACTGCCTCGCTTTTGTCCTATAGACAACGTGGACAAGATCGACAAGACAGTGCTTCACAACTACCTGCGTAGCTACTACTGTCCGGAGCGCATGGTGCTGGCAGGAGTGGGCATTGAGCACGAGCAGCTGGTCGAATGTGCCAGGAAACACCTGCTGAACGCCAAGCCGGTGTGGGGAACGAGTACGGCGGCCAATGTGGACCTTTCTGTGGCTCAGTACACGGGTGGAATCATCAAGGTGAGCTGGCACTAAACGTTCCTTCAGGGTGTAAAACAGTAAAAATGACAACGATTAGTTGGTGCAGTTTCAGAATGACAGACTGTGATGTACTCTTAGGTAGCATGACACACATAGAAGTGGTTTTATCTGTACTCTAGATGTCGTGCTTTGCAAAAAATGCGTAAAATAGTTAGTCCACCATTTCAGCGAGAAAACATCTTTTGTTCTTTCATCTTTTTGTTTTTTTTTCAATTTGATATTTGACAAATGTAACAAACGTCTTGGCCGAGTAGTGACATTTAGGTGCCAAAGGGCAGTTTTGGAACATTAAAAAATTAAAAAAATCGTCAATTGTTTGAAATAAATGGGGAGTAATAGCTACAAGCTTTGCTGCAGCTCGTCTTAAAGGAAGAATAATACCTTCATTTGATCTGCTAGATGGAGAAGGACATGTCAGACGTGAGCCTCGGCCCCACCCCGATCCCAGAGCTCACCCACATCATGATCGGCTTGGAGAGCTGCTCCTTCCTGGTGGGTGTCTGCGTTGTTTTGGAGAGTCTCCATTCAGGTGCCTGATACACGTGAAGTAATACATATTCTCTTTACAGGAAGACGACTTCATCCCATTCGCGGTGCTCAACATGATGATGGGTGGAGGCGGCTCCTTCTCAGCAGGAGGACCTGGGAAAGGCATGTTCACCCGCCTCTACCTGAATGTGCTCAACAGGTAAACTTCAGCCTTTATGTCACTCATATAGTTCCAAGCAACAGGGTTTGTTAATAATTGCTGACTGACATTTTTATTATACTTCTCTGTTGTAGGCATTACTGGATGTACAACGCTACCTCCTACCACCACAGCTACGAGGACAGCGGCCTGCTGTGTATCCATGCTAGTGCAGATCCCAGACAGGTGGGTGCAGACTCAGGACACCAGCAGGGTATCTGTGAGGGACGAGTTGGGGCTCTGAATTAATTTGATGCAATTGTTGATTCCATAAAAAGAAAACGGGGCCACTGTGTTCATCCTGTTACTCCAGTTCACTCTGTGACAAACCGCCGAGTCACTGCAAAGGAAACAAGTTGTAATAAAGTAGAGAAAGGTGTGTGAGCAGCTTTATTTGTAAGTAAATTAGCCATGTCTTAAAGTATTCTTTCTGTATGGAAAATTATATAAAGTGAAAGGAAAGCGAATCAGTCCATCTTTTTTTTTTTTTTTTTTTTGAAGATGAACTTATAGTTATCTCGTGTGCATAGTGGCCTCATTGTTGAGTTTCACTGCTTCTGTCAGCCCTATTGCAAACACTGACATTTGTCATCATAACAGATAACCGTGATTTTTTGTGTGTACCAGTTCTTTCAGCAACTGTTAAAACTCCTAAAAGTAACTGAATTTAGCCTCCACAAAAAAAGACTTTAAAGCTATTTCAGAATGTATTTAGGCAATAATTCTAGTTATTAAAGGTTTCTGTATCTAATTGTCAGGCGACTTTACACCCCTACAAACTGAAAGTGGGTTCGTGTGTCAGTGGATTCTGCTACAGGACGCTGTTCAGTCCTCATTGTGCAATAAACGCTGTCGCTGCTTCGAGCAACAGTAACTGATTTAGACTGAAATTCCAAGAAACTTGCTGATTAAATTCAGCCTTATTGGTTACTTCATTCATCCAGTATTCACCACAGTTATATTATTAGAAATTATTGCCATGCACTGCTATGAAAAGTATAACATATTGTAGCCGGAATGACTGTGCAACAGGTATTAAATGTAACATGATTATTTTTTCTACATTTGAATGTGGTATATTTGTGAATATTCATCCTTTAAATGGTCAGTGTTGTGGTTTCGTGGTCCTTGTTCTCACTGTTACATTAATTGATTTCCAGTTGCGGGAAATGGTGGAAATAATAACCAGAGAGTTCATTCAGATGTCTGGAAACGCAGGCGAGGTAATAATCACCACAAGTTTGTTTTTCATTAATTATTGTTGCAGAATCAAAATTAAGCAGCCCCCCCGCGACCCTAGTGAGGATTAAGCGGTGTATACATAATGGACGGATGTTATATTTCCCTCCAGATGGAACTGGAGAGAGCCAAGACTCAGCTCAAGTCCATGCTGATGATGAACCTGGAGTCTCGGCCGGTTATCTTCGAGGACGTTGGTCGGCAGGTTCTCTCCACAGGAAAGAGAAAGCTGCCACATGAGCTGTGCGACTTAATAAGTGAGTACTTGGAGAAATTTAGTAGCTTTTCTGAGCAATTCATCCTCACAATTCCTAATTATCAAATTGTTTCCAGGCAACGTGACAGCCAGTGACATCAAGAGAGTGACCACCAAGATGCTGCGCAGTAAACCGGCCGTCGCAGCCGTCGGCGACCTCACGGAGCTGCCGTCGTACGAACACATCCAGGCCGCCCTGTCCAGCAAGGACGGACGTCTGCCCCGCATGTACCGCCTCCTACGATAGACCGCCGCCGCCGGCTGTAAAATAAACTGGACTGGAAAATTATACTAGTGTTCCCTCCCGACACAGAAGTCAGCACAGCTCACTCTGGGAGGGGACTAATACCTGGGCTTCAATCCCAAACACCTCTGAGAAAGGAGGGGTTTTAAAGAAACAATCCATTGTACTCTCCAGCAACATTAGGCTGGAGAATTTGTATTTATTGTTCATGGGCAAGAAGCCATACATCATTATGTTCAAAGATGTCTTGCAGGAGTTTGGTTTTAAAGGGACAGTTCACCCCCCAAAAACAATTATGTTTGTTTATTTCCCATTTAAAAACCCCGACCTGTTATGAATGAATGATGTTACACTGTGAATCTTAGAAGCAAACCATCGTATAAAAAAAGAGAACATCCCGGCAGTGTCTGCACTGTTACGTTAAGCCTTTGCCTTCCTCAATTTGCAGACCTCCAACTCTCTAAAATTCCTATTTTTCTAGAGCAAATGGGTGAAAACCTTAGTATTTATACAAAAGGACTTCATAATGTCCCTTCACAGCCACAGGAGACCTGATCCACAGGAAAAATGAATAAATTAATAATAAAGATAAAATTGGAATCTTTTGTATCAGTGACCAACTTTACTGTTTTCTCTGAAGACTGAAGTTATGGGTTCTGTAATTTACCTGAAAGAAACTGAAATCTAAACAGGAAAGTGGTATTTTTGTGTTTTTTTATGCTAATTTTTGATGACCCAAATTACATGGGTAAATTAAAGTAACAGTTTCACATTTTGGCAGGAAGATAGATGAGAAGATAAATCACATTTTTGGATAAATATGAAGCCTTAGCCATTAGCCGCTTAGCTTAGCACAAAGACTGGAAATGGGGAAAACGCTTGGCCTAACAAAACTGGCATCTGGAAAGCTCACTGGTTAAACAAAAATTAAGCTTACAAATAAAAGTTAGCGTTTCGTAGGGTCGTTCACCATTCTATTTCAGAACCCCGTCAAGAAACACCCTTCAGAAAACTGCAGTGTCTTGATGAGAAGATCTTGGTTTTTTCCCCACTGAACTTATGCTAAGCTAACTGGCTGCCGCTTTAGCGTCGTCGTGCTACATTCACATGTTGGTGCAACTGGAAAAACACACTTTATTCCAACTTTGCGGTGTTTGTTCTTTAGGCCAGGGTGGTTTGTCGTAAAGCAAACTGTGTATTTAGCCTAAATTTAGCTTGTTTGCTTTGCACAGAGTATAGCTTCTTTAATGTTAGCTGAACTGACTTATTTAATTTTTATGTAACGCACAAGTTCGGAGCTATTTTTACCACGTAGGAGATAATCGGAAACCTTAAGTCTGACACGGGCTTGAACTGTTTTCCCCTCTTGGCTGCTTGTATTGACAGTTTAAACAGTGTGACATGCACATAAAAATAAATAATGTTAGTCTTCTCATCTAACTTTCTGCCAGAAAGAGAATAATCACTGTTATTTTAAGAGACAGATCTTTGTCTTACTGTCCGAGTGACTTTCGAGGCTCACATCTCTTAGAGAACATTGCAAAACATTTAATTCCACTGCACCCACATATGTGTATTTTTATCATGTTTCCGTGGCTTCTGACTGCAGTGAATGTGAACTATGTCAACAACTGTACACAACTTGGTAAATAAATGTAATTACATGAATTAAATATACATATCAAGGTCTTGCTTTGCACCATAACAGACAAAACTTGAACAAGTGAAATGTTTATTGTAGGACGTTACATCTCAGGTGACACAAAAAGATAAAGATGACAGGTCCTGATAATATGACAACAAGACCCACAGGCACTTTTTTAAGGAGCAGACTGCTCTTCATGCTGGGAATGCAAGTTCATTAATGTGCTACATACAGTACATGAACAGTTTATAGTTTATGAGGTTACACAGCAGTGAGATGAGAGGTAAGGCATTGATTTAGTGTTGCAAAGGATCACTTGGCCTAATAGGAGAAAACGTAGTAACAGGCTTTTACAGTATAAATAAAATGCTCTGTGTGTATATATCTAAGTCAGTTCTTTTGAGAAAAGTTTAATGAAAGCGATAAATATATTTGATCTCCCTGATATTCAACAGTAGCGAGTTGTAACCTCATTCATCGGTGCCATGCTCTCGACATCATCCCCTCCAAAACACTCGAGCAAAATTCAAGTCAGACGCCTAAATGTTCACCGCGTTTAGTGCACAATTTGATGACAAAAACCGCAAGGCATTTGAACACTGATGTAGCATTCAGTAAACTCATGATGCTTCTTAAACACCGACAAAAAAAAAATGAAAGAAAGATGCAGTTACAGAGTCTGTAAGGTTAAATCAGTCCACATCGGAGCGTGTGACTGAGCGGTAAGCCACGACGGTGACCCTCCTCCCTCAGTTCTGTCCCAGTCATGTTTGAGTAGAGAGGGCTGAATAAATAAAGGCCAGACTACTGCTGTCTGCAAAGCCTCTCACCGTCTGTCTGACCTCAAGGTCCCCGCCCTCAAGTCCAGCCAGCTTCACCAGCGCTGCTCGCTCGCAACTTACAACGTAGTTAAGACAACTCTGGTTTCCCTTTTTAGGTCCATCTGCCCCACCTCGCCTGCTTCTGATCCAGTCCAGCCTGGTCATGCTCTGGAGAGTTTAGGAGATGGTGCAGATGGTGCTGCTGCTTTGGTTCTTCATGGCCTCCCTCCTCTTCAGCTCTCTGGTGATCCTCCTCCTGATGCCCTCCAAGTACAAGCCTCGGTCAAACTGTCCCGCACCCAGAGGAATACTGACAAACACATGAGCACATGCAGAGCGCCAGATGTTAGGAGGGCAGACAGCAGAAGGAGCATTTGTTCATTTAGGATTCAAATAAATATAAAGCATGACTCAGAAACAGTTAACATTTTTGACTAAAGGAGATCAGCGCTGAAAAAAATTTTGTAGCTGTATAGGAACAAAATCTTTATAAACGATCACTTTTTATTTTTAACTGAAAGTTGAACTGAAGTGGACGACAGAAGTGATACCACAGTAACCTCAAGCTCTTAATCTAAAATCAGGGCTCTGTATGTCCAATTAGAGTTCCTACACTGATCAAAAACAGAAGCATGCAAACGCAAATCTTTTCTGTTTCAGAGTACAAGTTTAAAGCCTCGTTTCCATTATGCTGAAAGAGAGTTTAATTTACCCAATGTGTACAAAATGTGTGACAAATTCTTGACCTAGTCAGTGATTAATCAGTAATGAATCACAGCCTAGTCAGGTGTGATCAGATCGCCTGGACCATTACGGACCATCACTCTTTTGACCAGTGACTATAAAAAGCCACCTTAAAATGCAGCTTTACTCAAATGACACAATGTCCAAGGTGACAAGTGTTCTGGATATGGAAAGGCTGGGTTTATTTTTTTCTTTCACAGCTCATCTGCTCATCAGCTAAATCTGCTACACCTGTGGAGTAGAGCTCAGCTGTTGGAAATCAGCCTGGTAGTTAGGTCTGCAACTCTCCTCTCAGTGGGGGAGTGTAGCTCTGGAGGCAGCACCATCAGCTGACCTCCTCGGGAAATACTGAATTTGAGTGTCTGAAAATGAGAATTAAGTTATTATTTCTTTCTTTCCCAAAACACCCCATTCAAAATAGCGACTCCCACCTAAGTTGTGTTGTGGGACATTTAGTTATTTTATCCTTCTGATAGATTTAGTAGGCGGTAGTTAGGAGAAATCCCTCCACCGCCTTTTAGAAAAACAAAAAAAAACCCTCCATCCAGTTTTGTTAGTTTCCCCATTTTACCACCTTAGTGATCTCGTGGGGTTTTTTTTTTTGTAGGGAGGGAAACGTAACACAAGAGAGACACTAAAACAGGCTGCTGGACGCTGCATGTGAGTTCAGGCTCCATCCAGGTGCCTGAATGTCCACAACTCCACTATTTATCCTCTAAGACTGCATGGTAAAACACATCACGCTCTGGAGGGATGTGTCTGACAACTTGATTCTGTCACCTAAAATATCCAGAAAACTTCAGGACGACTAAGACAACATTCTTAACTTAAATAACTATACATGTTGCAGATGATGGACACATTCATTACTGACTTGGGATTTCTAGTGTACGACCCCACTCTCAAACTACTCATTATCATTTCCAATATAGCACACACTTTGATGTTTCATGACGTCCAGTCTGTCATAGAGCTGCACCAACAAATACTTACTCCGCTATGATAAAAAGAATGGATAGAATTTAATAAAATTCTTCATGATGCGTTTTTGTAGTCACAGACACTGAAAGAATATACTGACAGAGATAAAAACATGTCTGAAACCCTTCTAAACATAACAAATACCATTATTGTAAAGTGTGGTTTGACTCACTTGTCCCTCCCTGGCCTCAGTTTGACCTGGAAGACGCCGATGACGGGCCGGTGGTCCGACGTCTTGATGTTGGAGCAGCTGGTGTACTTGAGCACTTTAATGTCATCGGCCTGCCTGTTCCTGAACAGGATCCTGTCCTGTGAACGCAAATGGAGATATTTCATCCCGCTGAGAGCCACTGGCAGGTTTAGAGTTCGATAAGTGCAGCTGAAAGAGTCTTGTTAAAACGTGCTTTCCACAAACTCGACTGCTTACTGTGTATGAAGGCGTTCTCTGTTTAGATGTAGTGTCATAGATGTCGCAGCCGATGTCAAATTTGTACGTGGGGTAGAAATGTATCGGTGCCTCTTGGAAGCCTTTAAAGATTGAACCTGGAAGGTAAAACAATTTACAGGGTGAGAATCATAAAACAAGAACCTACTTCAAAAACTGCTGAAGCTTCATTCTCCTACATACCATCCTTCATCTCCTTGGACAGCTGGTCGTGCTCCAACAGAGGACCCATCTCGCCGCCTGCAGTGCGGTTCATGATCGTCTCCACATCAGTTCGGTCTTTACTCAGCCGGAAGTTGAAGTCTCCGAACCAGAACACCTGATCGAATCTTGTGGTGACGTCAGCTACAAGTCAAAGTGCCATTGTATGTGACATTATATTTACCAGCATAAATGAAATATGAATTGCTGCTGGGTGAAAGATGGTCAACAAGACAAAAAATGCATTCTAAATGGAAAAGTAACCATAATGCTGCAAATAATACTCAGTCTAAACATGTCGAAGCACAATTTAGTTTAGCCCTAATAGTCACAATTATTTAAAAAGGGAGAAAATTAGCAAATAAGTTGAGGCTTGAACATAATTTGTAAACAGTCATGACTCTATTGGAAGAAAACCTTGAAAGTTAACTAAATTACAGAAAGTTACATGTTTGAGAAACACAGCAGCATGTCAATCTGTAAAAATGTGATCATGCTCTGTTTTTTTTTTTCAGTCCTTCCACCATCCTATATGTTTTGGTTTTCACTTTTATTTTTTTACACAGAGTAACCTCAGAGAGTCTCACATGGTGTGGAGCGATAAGGGTTGGTATCTGGAAGGCCTTTCGGAAGAGCGAGAGCCTCGACGATCTTGTTGTAATCGAGTATCCTCTCGTACACTTTGGCATCTCCAGCTGGAAGAAGAACAGAAAGAGACCTTTAAAAATGTGTCTGTAAAGTTTAAACGCAAACATTTTATAGTAAGAACAGATGTAAGAGCAGCAGATGTGAGTGTAACACCTAAATCATGTGCCGACAGTGTTTAATGTTGGACTTGGCGATATGAAAAAGTAAAAAGTTTTCTTCTACAAGACAGATTTCCCTGCTAAGCTTTGATAAATCAATGTGAAACCTCCTACTTACAGGTAAAATGGGATGTGATGAAGAGGAACGAAGTGCCAAAAAAGGTGAAGGCGATTCCCACAGCCCCTTTGGTCTTGATCTGGGAGATGATCCTGGTGGTGACTGTGGCGTGCTCCACCTCTGTGTGGGTCAACAGAACAAACGCTGTCATTGGTGTCGAAGCCAAAACAGCCACATTTAAACACAAAACAATGTATATATGATGGATGTTTTCTGTACAATGCAACAAGCATGTCACCACATCAAAATCCATAAATCATCCAACTCCTCTGGCCAACAATGAGGATCCAGCATCTGATTCTAGCGTGCTTACTAGCAGAGTTGCTGCAGATTCATTCAGTCAAACCAAAGATTTTATATCACATAGAATAAAACTTAATACTTATTTCATGACCAAACTATCCAATAAACAGTTGTGAATTTATCTACATCTATGTAACTTGCATTATGCTCTTTTCAAAAATTTCCAGTTCGAACTGAAGTGATTAGTCGGTTATTTTACTGTTAAGTATTTGAACAATTTCAATAAACCGTTATTCACTCTTCAAGCAAACATGCCAAATATCTGACGATTGTAGCTGTTAAAACACGACCATTTGGTGTGTTTTCTTGTCTAATATTGTGGCAAGTGTTTAAGTGTTGGTTGGACAAAATAACACTTGATGACACTGACTGGAATCTGAAATTGTGACAGTATATTTTTTCAACTTTTCTAAATACCAAAAAATAAACTAATAATAAAAAAAAACCCTGACCTGCCTAAAGTCTAAATAACTTCCAGACTGCAGAGCTGATTAGTTGAACAACAATAAAATAATGAGTAACTGTTTTAATAGTCAATTAATTAATCATGTTTCCAGCAAACACGGTGAAAAGAATGTGACACATTCTCAGATTCAGATTCTCAAACAACAGAAATTACTGCCTCTCTTTGTCATATTTTGGTCAGCCTGAATCCTGTGAAATTATAATAAATAGTTCAATTTTTTAATATATTTTTTAAAGAATAATTTTAAAGATCAAGAGTTAAGAAAATAATCGACCATTTCAACACCTTTGTAAATGTAATTCAAGGCTTTTAAACACTCCTGAGGTTGAGTGTCCATAATGCATTTTTATGAAGCATTTTTATAGCAGGCAATGTATGCAGGTTGCAGCTTTTTTTCTTTCTTTCATTTTTTTTGTGCTTTCTGCCGTTTTAGTGCAGCTGCTCCAAGGCTTCTCCTTAAAGATATATTTTCAGACTTTTCAGTGATGTGCTGTTGTCATCACTAACACTCCCCTTTAGCCATCTAATCATATGAGTGGAAGGAAGGAGAAGCTTGTCCTGGCCATATCTGAGTTTTCTGAGCTGTATGATGTGTCAGACAAATGGGCCATGCTGGACATATGACAGTGGCTAGGATGGTGATATATTGTCTAGATATTGTTCCAGCACCCTGCCAGTTAAAAACACTACATGGGCACAGGAATAAAGATCTGTTACCCTGTATTCAAGACAACATGCCCGACATAAATTCAGACTAGATAGGTCATCATTACTACACAACAAAAGTATAAGAAGTTGAGTGATATCGTAGGAGTTTATTCCCTCGATAACTGACTCCTGTATGTGAAGCCGGACTGACCTGAGCAGAACCAGATGAGGTCTCTTCTGACAAATACAGTGAGATACAAAACACCATGTGATGCTGCATAAAGCATGACGTAGTAAGGTCCCAGAGTCTCCTGCAGACGGGTCTCCCACTCCCTCCTGCACACACACAGTCACGCACAGATCAGTACAACTGATAGAGTCATAACAGCCCACTTCTAATCCAAACCTTGCATACCTGTCAGGACAGCCCTCCTGGACCCCAATAATATAAAAGTCTTGTGCAAATTCAGAGTCTGTAGGAAGGAGGAGATCATCTAGGTTGGTTGGAAGGCCCTGCAAAGGACAGAAAACGGGTTAGAACTCAGCTGTGGCCTGAGCTTGATGTGTGAAGCAGAGTCAGGATTTCCTCCTACCTTTTCTCCCTGCATGTTCCAAGTGGCGACGTAGACGCCCACTCTCCTGTCGGGGAAGTAACGGTCCAGCTCCTCAGCCCCGAGCAAGGCACCGCTTCCCAGCACGCTGCCCTCCAGAAAGCTCCTGGAAGAAAATCAGCATCTATGTCAAGTTTTATCTGCAGCGGACATGCCCTGCAGGATTCAGTGAAGGAACAATAAAAGGTGCTGTTAGGTCAGTGAGTCTTCCCTTACAGTTGCTGACAATAGATGGCACTGGCAGACTGCGTTTTAAAACTACAGACTAAGACCCATTTTCCCCTCCTCGTGTCAAAAACAGTGCTGAACAAGCATCTCCTCTGATCCCACTTTAATCCCTCTCCACACTGCTGTGTGCCTCTTTCCCTTAAAGATGTGAGCGCTCTGCACGCACAGAGTGAAAACGTCTGGAAGTCAAGTTTCAGAACAAATTAGCAGTCAGTCAGTGCTGCTAAAACACCCACTCCTGCTTTTGAACCAGGCTCCAGATGTGCTATGCAAATCAGTCCCACCCAGAGGGCAGAACCAGTACTATGGTGGAATTTAGAGGATATGAGATACTATAATTCTTGGGCAGTGCATGTGCATAGAATAAAGATATGGTAGAAGAGGCCTGGCAGAGCTTATCCTGCCACTACATGACTGCAGCATTGGTAAAAAGGATAAAAATATGGACACCTTCATTTAAAATTTTGGTTGGTTTTCTGGTGTCACCTGTATCTACACCCTTGAAATGACACCAGAAAGAGTAAGCCTTACAAAAGAGCCTTCATATCCAACTGAGGATGACTCCAGGTACATCTACATGCTCTGCTGTCTCTACTGTACCTGTTCCTCACATCCTGGGGTCTGATGGGGCTGAGCACGCTGTAGGTGGACCTCATGGAGTTGACAGAGGCGCTGTCAGACCCCATGTTCTCCAGAAGCCGGCTGTCGCTGAGATTCCTGTGGAGTCTCTCCCCGAGCTTCTCCCTGGCCAGCACGGCATAATCCAAACAATCCCTGTCAATCCTATTAGCTGCCCTCAAAGTGGCTGACGCAAAGCTCTTCTCCAGAGCAGGCAACGTCCCCGTGGGCTGCACCGGGGACAGCCGCAGCTTGGCGGACCTCCCCCGATGGTCCGTGGGGTTGCTCTGCTGGCTGCGAGGCCTCCTTTCATACTCGGAGAGACTGCTGCCTCTGTCCCGGAAGACTGGGGAACCGGTTGTAGCAGCGGAGCGGGGTCTCACATTGGAGTCCTGGTTGTTCCTGATAGCGACGGCACCGCTGAGGACAAACCCGCCCGGAGGTGGAACCGTTTGGTCTTCTCTAAGTGAGTCTGTGGAGGAGCCGGTCTCAGCCGGGTCACTCAGGCTCTCCTGGCTGTTTCTAAGCCTCCTGGTTCTCACAGTCTCCTCCACCGAGCCACTTCTGCTGGATCTTGACAGTCTGGGTAGTAGAGGGGGTCGAGGCTGGCATGGACTGAACTCGCCGCCTGCGAGTTTGTCAGCAGCAGCGATTTTTAGCTCATCATTGTGCTCACTGGGGGATTTGACATCTACTAAGGAGGTCTTAATTGGCTTGCTGTCGTTGGCAACTGAGTTTCCTTTAGCAGGAGCCTCGCCGGACTGATGGAGGGTGCATTCCTCTCCATTCTCAGTCATCCTCTCCTCATGGCCCACACCAGCTCTGGTCAGGTGGATAAAACTCTCTCATTGCTAAATTACATGACACCTGGAGATATAGAAGCAGAATACGTTTCAGAGAAATGCTGGCTTTCAAACGACTTAGTCTAGACACAAGTCAAAGAGAGTTTGGTTATTATTACCACTCTAATTTGTTTCTTCTTTATAAATTAGTCATGACAGACACCTTAAAAGTTGTCATGCCAAAAACTGATTGTCTGCCAAAAACTGGCTGCCATCCACCGCATTGTGCGCTTCTTGTTTAAGCTGTATTATCCAGTTTATATACGTCTCCAGCTACTTTTATCCATTCACCAAACAATTATGACCAAAGAAATGTATGCAATGTATAGCATAATCAGACGTGACAGTTATGATTACAGGCAATATTATAGTATTGTTTCTGTTTCTGCTGCAAGTGTTTGGTATGTCAAATATCCTAGTTGATATTTGGAAACCAGATTGTAATCTCCAATATTGACAGACTGACTGCCTACATAAAATAAAGAAACGATGTCTTTTGCAAATTTCCTATGAGCTAGAATCTTTAAAATATAACCCCGAACAAATGCAACCAGGTCATTTTTATGTGATAATAATAAACAGCTGTCAACTGATAATTGCACATAATCTGTTTGAAGAACTTTTTATAAAAAAATGTTTAAAAATCTTTGGATTCATGCTACTAAAATGTGAATTACGTTCTAGTTTCTCACTTCCTCTATGACAGTAAACTGAATCTGTTCGGGTTGTGGACAAAACAAAACATTTGAGAACGCCATCTTTGGGAAACACTAATTAAAAAATGTGACCATTTTCTGACATTTTCTAAGCCAAACGACTCATCAGTTAATTGAGAAAACAAGAAAAATAATCGTTAGTTGAACCTAAAATGCTGCTTCCATAATAATGCAGCAATAATATTCCAATACATACAGAATACTCTCTATGTAACATATTCCTCAGAATGAGTCATAATGTTTTGATATTTTGCTTCTGGTGACAAAATTTAAACCCTGACTACTTCTTTTGCCATTGCTCTTCAGTAGAACTGCAATAATTTATTCATTGATTAACTGTCAACTATTCAATCAATCGTCAACTATTTGGATAATCAATTATTTACTTTGATTTATGTTTTTAAGAAAATTAAAGTCAAATTATGTGCTTCCAGCATTTCAAAGTTCACTATATTCTGCTTTCTTTTCTCCACTATGACAGTAAACTGAATATTTAGGGGTTGTGGACAAAGCAAGACATTTGAAGAGCTTGTCTAGAGCTTTTAGAAACACAATTTTCTGACATTTTAAACACCAAACAACTGATATTTAATTCCAGAAAATAATCAACAACAAAAATGCTGCATTTCAGCCAGAATGTAGGGGCTGTAATCACTCTCTGGAAAGGGGAACTCTTCGCTAGATGAGTTAAATGGGTGCTTTACAGCCATTTGAACCGATAAAAAGTCGGATTGGTTATAACATAAGAGACAAAATGGGAGAAAAATAATGAAGAGAATAGAGGATAATTACAACTGAGGACAGCACATCAGTTTTTGGCAGTTATGGCTAAACACTGCAGCTAGTATTAGTTAGACATTTCCAAAAACGATTTGATTTCAAGCGAATCAAAGTTATTCGCTGCTGCTAACTAACATAAATCAGCGTCAGTTAACTCAGTTAATGTTAGCTTCACTCGTGTTTTTTGTCACTGAATCCAAAAACCCGTTAGTTTACAATTTAATCATTTAAAACTACGTTAGTCAGTAGGTCATGTTTGCATTAACAGCACCCCCGTTAGCTAACCCTCTGTGTTAACTAGCTGCAAGTTAGCGAGGCTAAAGTGTTAGCAAAACATTAGCAATAAGCCCACACAGGCTAGCTGAGCTAAAGCTAACATTCATATCAACATATTAATAACCACGTAGTGCTGCCGGCTTCAGTCTTCTGTGCTAACGACCCATTTCACTGTTATCAGGCTGAAGTAAAGTTACCTTCTGTAGACTGTTGCTTTCAGAGGCTAATTTTACAGTGGACTTCCTTAGCAACGTTTGACAACACACATTTGTGTTACCAAGAGAGTCTGACTGAGAGTGGAGCAGCAGTCACAGCGCCGCCTGGTGGCCACAGGGCAGACCACTGCTGGACACGTACAGAGGTAACAGAAACCTGAGCACTGCCCCTGATTTACAGCTTCATTTACCTTATTTAAATGAATTCAGTTACATTTTTAGCTTGTTTATCAGTCCAGTTTTGAATTAAACTCTGGTCAGAAGTTGACTCTGATCCCATAAAAACTGCAGCCAGCCACAAGCGTTTTAAAACCACAGCACAAGACACTTTGACAGCCAACACATCTGCTGGCTCTCCTACTCGTCTTATGGATGAAAACACTACTTTGTCTTTTTTGTGTTCTACTGTGCCTTGCATGTTTACATCGGGGTCTTTCAATCCCGTCTATGCCTTGTGTCCTGTGTATGTACATGTGGTGGAACTGACAATAAAGTTGACTAATTCCCATTCTGACAACAAGATATATTTGATTTTTTTTCTCAGGTCTTTTGTTGGATGACAGTGTTGTCTTTCTGTTTTTTAAACAGCATTAAGATCTTTTAAATCAAAGGAAGTGAATTTTAGGGCCCGTTGATGTAACTTTTTTCTTGTTTTCTTATTCGTGAAGTCATGTAGGTTAGTCCTCCAATCACATAGGTTGGTGGTTCAATCCCCTCCACAGT